CTTCAGTGGCTCAAATTACTTTATTCGCGTATCACTTGAAATGAGCTCGTCACTTGTGCTAACGTGCTCAAAGAAAAGGAGAAAATACTAAACGAACTAATTTTCCAGTTTTTTTCATCTTTTATATCGATAACAATGTAACTCTATTAGTTTTCCCCGTATTGTTATACAATATTCATTGTTGATTTTCAAATGATTACCATTAGTCTTTCAATTTGATTGGTTAACAGCTGATTACTAGAATGATCCATGTATTGTTGTGTATTTGTTGATATTACGAATACTTGTAATCAAGTGAATGCCGGATAACCGTTTCATCATATCAAATGAGTGAAATAAAAAAAAACTGGTGAAGTTGGTCAATCAATTCAACTCATCTGAAATTCTGGTGTAATTATAGGATGAAGACAAGAACGAAATGAATGAATGAATGAATATAGTTGAAGTTCAGTTGTTTAAACAATTCATTCATCAATCAAATGTTTGGGCGTTGAAGAGATGAACCGATGACAACAACAATCAATAAATGGAAAAATAAAGGAAAACTTTTTTAATTTGATTGTCCAGAATGAAAATATCAACATTCAGTTGTATTTACCAGGTCAGAAATACAAATCGTAACAATAATTATTAACCAACAGAAGCAAATTACAAGAGATGAAGTTTATTTAACTGTTTAATCATTGATACAATTTTATGTTCAATCTTTATTGTTGATCAGTATTTACATTATTATTAATATCAATATGGTTGATCATTTGCTGGACACGACAATTATATCATTATGATTAATTTTGATTGATTGTGTCCCAAAGTTTACCAGGAAATCCTCATGCATCTTGATGATATTCTTGAATGAATGGAGAGTAATTAAGAGAAAACACTTCCGACAGAAAAGAAGATCGGTAAATATCAACTAATTGTATCTAAATTCTCACTTGAGTTAATCGCCGATAACTCGAATCAATTTAAATTTAAACTTTTTAATTAATCATAAACCTTCCATGTTTATCTTTTTTCTCTTCATTCTTTTATCAATTCATCTTATCCTCCATTTTTTTTTCTTCTTCTTCTTCTTCTTCGTTTCAAGTTTTGCTTTTCAATTGAAACTAACATCACGCAGAGAAAATAAAGTTACCCATGGATGATGAGGATGATAATGATGATAGTAAAACCTAAACATCTTCTGGGATTGACAGTTGATTAGGATGAAGTGAAAGAGATTGACTGGGAGTGTGCCATTCTATTCTGAATAGCCTTCTCCATCACCTCATCTTCATCTTCATTATCATCTTCATCTCTCCCTCTCTTTTTCTCTCTCCTTATCTTCACATTTTCACTTAACCATCACAGATCATACACTCAATCAAAAGACATGGGACTCTATTAAAATATAACTGTTATTCTGATCCCATACAGTTTTTATTCATCCACATCCTCATCCTCATCCTCATCTTTATCTTTATCTTCATCTACTCATCTTATCCGCTCGAGAACATTATTTCATAATAAACTGACTTTTAATTAACTAATTAAAAATCAATATAAATAAATTTCTCTCTCTGTGTTTATACCACAATTGAAATTTACTTTAAGAAAACTTTTACCTTGATTATTGGTCAATCATTGATGAGCCAAAGGGACAGTAAGACAATTAGTTTGATAATTTAATTACAATTATTAATAAATGTAAATTGTCTCGTCAATCAATTTAAAATTGTAGAGTTAAGCTGAACAATCAATCAATGACAATTTGAAATAACAACAAGTCTCATTATAATCCAGTGATTCGCGATTCTTATGATAATTTCATCTATTTTGAATCTTAATTCTGTGACAATTTTATTCATTCATTGGTTGACACAAACACGATAACACACATTGACTTTATCAAATTTAATCCTAATCAATTTCATTAAAAGTTACTCTTAATCCCTTTTATCTTCTCTGCATTTTAATATGCTCCTTTCAATCGGATTATATTTACTTTAATCATCGACAGGGTGTCCAGTTAAGTAGCTTTATATTGAGCACCACAAAAGTTACTTTTTCACTTGGATGAGAAAAGTTAATTTATGTAACGAGAGAATCAATTTCCGATATTCTTATCATGGAATTTGATTCGAATGATTGAAATAATCATGTAATCGATCAGTTGTATTAGAAATTCATTAAACTCATACGAAGAGTCAAATAAGTTGATCGATATCATTTCTATCGGCTCAATTGTTAATTAGACAATTAATACATCGTTTTACTCAACAATTAAAATAAATAAGGATCATTGATATCAATTTAATATCAATTCATGTAAATGACAAATTATATTTAATAGATGACATCAAGCAACGGAAATTGAATCATTACCAAGGAGTAAATCACAATTAATTTTGTTTTTTATAATGATGATCATTAATGATGATATTCATTATTTCATTTCCGGGTTTCACTGAGACAGTTTTTTTTTCAGTTCTAAAAGTGATCTGATAAATTAACAAGATTCAAATTGATAATCATCATTGAGATAATACAGTTAATTGGCTGGTAATCATGATCAGGATTTTGATGAAGCAAATTATTGTCTTTGTATTAATACAAATAATGTTACAAATGATTAGGTTGTAATAAAAGGGCTTAATGACAATTCATTTGAATAAATTGCTCATTATTCAGTTAACGGTATTAAGAGTAACTAATAGATGATCTCAATGCAATTGTTACATTTTCATCTTCATTTGATTATGTTAATCAGCCCATTTAATGATGTCCTTCAATCAGTGGCTAATGTGATAATCAAATGATAATGTAAATAATTGTATCACTAAATTAACCTGTTAAAGTTACTCAAATCAATTTGGTATTGTTGTAAACAACTTTTTTAAATCAATTGTTGGAACTTTTTAATTCAATTAATCAAGTAACCATTTTGGTAACAAGTAGAAGATACAAAATAGAGATAAAAGTTTTTCAGTTTAATTTTATCCTCATCATCACGAAACATTTCAAAATTATCTGATAAAACCACAGAGACCAACGGAGAGAGAGAGAGAGAGCCATGAGCCATTTAGTGGGTGGGATAATAATGATGTTGAGAGTTTGAATCGCGTGTTCATTTAAATAGAAATCATGTTTAAAAAGATCAATTTAATGATAGATTATTAAATGTAACAAAACAAAATTATCATCATTTACAACTCAATTAGTAAATTAACAAATTTAATCAGTGATTAAACTGCTCAGAACAAAAATCTAATTACAACTGTTTCAATTTTCTGAAAATTGGTGATGAAAAACTTTGATATTTACTGATATTCTGTTGTTTTTGGGATATTTGGATAAGGATTAGAAGGATTAATCTGTATACAAGGATTAAGGGAAAGGAAGAAATAATTAATTGTAAATTAATTATACTCCTTGTTATTGGAATTTATTTAAATGTTGATCAATCAAAAGTGTTACTGGTAATTCAATAAATTAAAATCAGTTAACCGTTGAAAATTTCACTTGAAGGTTTTTAACGAAGGTTAATTGTGGAAAACTTGAAAAGTGATCAATAAAAGTAGATTATTAATAAATTGTATTCCGATTGATTTAAATTAATTTAACATGAGTTTTCAGACTCTCGTTGGTCCTTTTTGCTTAAGCTGCAATTTGTATTAATCACAAATCGCACACACGCAATCAAACAATTAACAGTCTGTAATTAATCAATCATTTTGCTTGATTATAATTCAGGTATTTCCATTGTTAATTTATAATAATGGTCACTGATGATCTATTTAAGGGCTTTGACAGATAATTGGAACAACAAAATCGATAAAAGGGGTTATGGTCATACCAATTATTCATCGATCATCTATCATAATAAATGACCAATACAACATATTCTCTCTATCAACTGATAGAGAATTTAAACTCTATCAACGGATACATAACAAATGAGAAGAAAAAGAAAATCTGATTATCGATTATAACACTTTTATCCCTTAACAATATCGAGCAAAAAAGTGAGCCAACTAATAAGAAAACGCCTTCGAGTGATTAACAACAAGATTCAATTCATTCGATGGTCAAACTGATCAAGTATTCGGATAAAATTAAAGTCTAACAGATCAACTTATTCCTCCCACTACTCTCCTTCTCCCTCCCTCTCTCTCTCTCCATCTCTCCTACGGGCTTATGATTGAAATGACCGTTATAATGAGACTCGGACCCTAAAGCTTTAAATGACTTAGCCGTTAACTAGATCGCAACTTTCCACTGTTGGACTGGTCAATTTGGTTCGAACGAGTTGAAACAAATCATTTTGTAACCTTGAAAATTTTTCTCTCTCCAAATAATTACATTGTTGTTTGCACGTTAAAAGTTATCACATTTGATTAAATGTCAGATAAATTGAGAACATGAGTTTGAATTAATTGCATGAAATGTCAATAAAAGTGAATTATTAACACCCAATAAAATGAAGATGGAAAGTTACACATCAATCTATCACAATTCAAGTTAAAGTCAACAATTTAAATCAAGTCAAGGCCAACAAATTACCTCAATTGTTGAAGCACAAACAGAATCATGTTAGACCAAAATGAGAGAGATGTGATTATATTTAATGATGAAGATTAAGAGGAAGCGCTAAAAAAGATTCAATAATCTATTGGCAAACCTTTCATTTGATTGTGTCAACAAATTGTGACCCTCATCATCAATCTAATCATCATCATCATGATCCACAAATGTAGACGCGTTCAGATTCACCATTTGCTCCCTTTAACTCCATCTAATCAATTGAATGTAATTCTGTTAATTTGCAAAATGATTTAGACGGAAATCGCTTTTAATTAACAAATTGTTCGTTAATTTTATCGAAACTTGAAAGTGTAACTTTGCCTCGCCTTCCAGGTGATTGTGCGCATGCGCGAGTCGCCAGACGCATGACCGAAAAGAAGTGAATGAGAAGCTCCTCCTCCGAATGGGAACAACAGTGATCACAATCAGATGAGCAAAACAATATCGAGCTAGAGTAACATCAACAACAAGACAAGTTAACGTTACAAAAGTAGTTACACAAAAAGATTGTTAATCAATTGAAAATCGTTAAATACGATTAGTTTTGTTTCTTTTCTCTTGTTTATTGTGTTTTTGTCTTTTAATTATCGAATAATTAATCACCATCAACGTGATCATTTACCTTTTTTTTTGTTAATCAACTATTGGATATGTGAATATGGCCGCTGTAGAAAGAGAGTACACTCCATTTACCTTGGCCGCCGTAGGGTCTTACAGTCCAATTGAACATGAATTGAAAGCGTTTTCCTCATCACACCATCACCACAGTGTTCATCCCTCTCACCACCCCGGTCATCATCATCCAAGCCTTGTATCACCTCATCATACCCACTATCATGCAATGGCCGTTGCAGCGCAACAACATCTCCAAGCAAATTCATCCTCATTGATGCCTCCAACACCAACATCAACACCTACTTCTCAAGGGTCCATTCACAATAGACCGAGTTCCGGTTCAGGGTCTCCGAATCCGACCAACGGTAGTAGTAATAGTTGTTCCAACGGTAGTGATAACAGTGTGAAAATGGAGTGTGGAAGTGGTAATAATAATAGTGGTAATGATAGAAACAGTGGAACCAATGGGTCGAATGGATCATCGGCAAATCACCACCACCATCATCATCATCATCCTCAACATCATCATTCGTCTAATAGTGACAACAATTCATCACATCATCAGAATTCCCTTCATCATCCTCTTCATCATTCCCACCAAACATCATTAGCGACTATTCATCATCATTCCTCGTCCAGTTCAACTTCATCTCACAATTCATCTAATATAATGAATACCAACTCTTCCTCAGCCGCTGCCGTTGTGTCCAATGCCGCTTCCCTTGCAGCTAAAAAAGAGTACGATAGAGTCAAGAGACCAATGAATGCTTTCATGGTTTGGTCAAGGGGTCAAAGGAGAAAAATGGCTCAAGAGAATCCGAAAATGCACAATTCAGAGATTTCAAAGAGACTCGGAGCTGAGTGGAAATTATTATCTGAAACAGATAAACGGCCTTTTATTGATGAAGCAAAGAGATTGAGAGCTGTTCACATGAAAGAACATCCCGATTATAAGTATCGTCCTCGGCGAAAAACTAAAACATTGATGAAAAAAGAGAAACCCTATGGACTCGGCCCTCTAACCCCCGACCCCTCTCGATCCTCAGCAAATGCCGCAACAGCAGCAGCATTAAGTGTACCTCGGGATGTTTACCAAATGAACGGAGTAATGCCCAACGGATATCCAACAATGTCCATGCATGATTATCAGCAACACGCGGCCGCTGTGGCAGGATACGCTTCGCCAGGAATGACAACACAAACTGGACTTTATGGTAGATATGATATACCACAAATTCATAATCAAATAACCTCAAATCCGATGAACATTTCATACATGAATGGCTCAGCGAGCTACTCACCGATGCCCATGACGCCTTACGCCTCAATGGGATCCTCAGCAAGTCCAATGTCCGCCAATGGACAAGGACTCAATCTAGAAAATTATTTAAGTGATCAAGCAAACAATTAACAGTTATAATAAATTGAACTATAATTATTATATATAAATATGTTTAATCTTTTTATTTCATCGAATCAACAATCGAAACATAAACATATTAATATTTCTTCCAACTATTTCTACTCGCATCTTCATCACTTTTCATCTCCATTCTCATTCTCATCATCATCCAAATCAACAACATCAAAATTTCATCACAAATGTTAATCACTGTAAACAATTTCCAAGCTTTCAACTGATTGTGACTTGAGAACATGAAATCATCACCATTATGAACATAATCCTAATCATTTTAAACATCCTCATCTTCATCTCATCCGCAACAATTTTTATGCTAATTTCTTGTGTTGTGTGTAAATTTAATTGACCCCTGACCCCGAAAACAATATTATAACATTTTCTTTCCTTTCTTTATTTCTCTTCCTCCTTTCATCCTTCCTTTTTTTCTGAATTTCTGGAGAAATTTAATCAACAAATCAATGTATTTCTCCCTTAAAATAAATTTGTTTATAAATTCATAGTGTTTATCTCAATCAATTCAAGTTTTATTTTCGCCAAAAGAATCGGACAATTTTCACCATTTCGTGACAAGATTTTCAGTCTTTGACACACTGGAAATCTCCATGGATGTGAATATAATCTGATGAAAGTTCAATTTCAATTAGAAAAGTAAATAATTTATTATTCTCTATTTATTTGGTCAATTAAATATCACAAAAAGTTGATTTCGGTGCAACTTTTTCAATAAAAGGTCGGAATTTGGCTATAGTTGTATAGAAACCTGGTGTTCTTGGGTCACCACATTCATCCATGGCACCAGAAACAATTCCCACAGCATAGTATCGTCCATCTTTACGATTTTGGTACATCAAAGGTCCACCAGAATCTCCTGAACAAGCATCGCCTCCGGTGAGTGTATCGACAGCACACAAATGACTTGAATGAACTTGCGGCATCTTGAACTTTTCTTGACGAGCTTCGATATCGGGGTTCATCCTTATAATAAAATCGCGCAACATTTGATTACAGGTTTTTCCTATTACAATTCAATCAAAAAATGGAAATGGATTAACAATTAACAACTAAAGTGACATTCGAAATGTTCATCGAGACCACTTACTGTCTATAAATTCAACATCGACTTTCATCAAGGATGTTGCTGGCTTACGATTGGGTCCGAGTCTCCCATAACCTGCCACTGTTAAAGTGAGAAAAGGTCGATTGAGTGACCCAGCTAAGCAAATCGGTGACACTTGATCTGTGAATGTGACCTTCTTAGTTAACCTCAGTATAGCGATGTCATTATAAAGTGAATCTTGATTGTAGTCATTTGGATAAAAATATTTGAATACTTTGTAAGGTTTATTGAGAGAAGTTAAATCTTTTACCCCAACGTAAACTTCAACACTGTCAATGGGCCGAAGGTTTTTGGAGGCATCATGAATACAATGAGCCGCTGTAACAATGTGCCGATCATCAATCAATGAACCACCACATAGTCCATATCGAGTGGTGTTTTTACCAATGAAAAATCTATTGGATTGTGAACAAACGAAAACAAATTAGAAATAAGAAACATGAACATTATCATGATGATCATTATTATTTTCATCATAATTTGGTCACTAATTTAAAATTACCAAAATAATGATAGTAAATAACAACAATACAAAAAAGATGAAAGAAAAAATAATGACGATAATAAGTCTGATGTAATGGAAATGCACAACAAAAGTTAACGAAGAGAGAGAGAGAGAGTGACCTGTATTGAAGTGACCATAAAACTGTAACCAAGATGATGAACAAATGAAGGAAAAAGCAAGCAAAAAGATAACTCCATTTTCTTGAGGATTATAAATGTTTGCGTGATGATAAACAAGGATCAAGGAAAATAGATTCAGTCTAAAGTCAGCGACCCACAGGTAACCAAAAATGTTTATGTTTACAAATGAATTTACACTCAATTCAAGGTTTCGACTATTGATAAATCCGATTGGTAAACACAGGATTGATTCTCACTTGTCATCATTTCATTTTCATCATTATTATTAAGCCACTTTCAATATGATAATAACTATTTTCACCTGAGATGAGCTATCCAAGGATATTCATCACTTTTAGCTTGAGTTCCTCCATAAACACGAGATATAATTGAATTCCAATCGGTTTCTGGATGACAATCTTCAAAAGATGATGAAAGACATGAAATTATAATCTTATTAAATCTAATCAGTAATATTTACCTGTCAAACTGGTTTTAATAATCAACCAGAATCCAATGATAGGAATTAAGTTTAGCCAAGGAAAGGTAACCATTGATCATTTAGATTTGTTAAGTTGATCCAGTGTTTCCTTCACACAATTAGTTTGATTCTAATGAAAATAGAAAATGAAATTACACAAATTAAGTTGATTAACTGATGAACATTTTACAATTTTAGATTTATCGATAATCAACAAGATCAATTATTGGAAACGAAATGTACCAAAACTTGAAACGAATCAAATGTTGACATGAGTAACCAGAAATCAAATGACATAAAACGTACAATCGATTTTGTCGAATTGTCAATCGTTGAAATGAAATGAACGACGAAAAAAATTAACTACTAAATCAATTGAACGATAACAAAACGATTCTTTTGATTGTTAGTGATTAAGTAATAATTAAGCAATTGTTAACTTGTGATACTTCATTATAGTTGATTAGATAAATTTAATTTTCCACTAAAATAAACATCAAGGTTGCAAAATCTTAACAACAATCAAGCAAATTTACTTTTTATTGTTAATTCTCAAAACTAACATGGTTCACAATTTAAATTACCTTTAATAACAATTAATTGATAATAAACTTGACCTGACCCAACACACAACATCTAATGACACGAAACTTGAATGAAACTTTTTTCTCGAAACTTTTTCTACTCTTTTTTTTCAATCGAGTTGATCTCGATTAGGTTGCATCATAATCTTGTATCATTTATCTCTTATTATCACAATATTTACTCTAACAATTGTATCATTAATTTAATGATAACATTAAATTGATTTAATGATAAACAATTAAATCATAATTTTATCAAACTTCCCGAATTCTTTTTTTTTTTCTTGTTCAATTATTTAATAATCATTGAGTTTAACAGTTTGAATTATTAATCGATAACTTGATCATGGTAACAATAATCAACGAAAAAAGGAAACGGAAAGTGTATTGAAAATTAGAAATGTTCATCAATCATATGGGATGATCAATAAAATGGGTTAATTTTTGGCAACGATTGAAAAGATGATTAATTTATAATTAAATGTTTTGATTGAGAGCAAACAAAATGAACTTACTGGACCAACGAACCGATGCCAAATCAGAATGAGTCTCAATTCAGTTTTCCTTCAAGTTTTTGGAAACAAAATATCATCATAATCATGTGTTGATCGAATGACCAAACCTCGAAAGGCGATTCTAAATGATAATATGACTTGGGAAAAGTTCATTTCTGGTTAAATTGAGAGAGGAACCTGAAAGTTTTCAAGATGTACATAAAAAGTACTCAAGTGACTGAGAACTGGTTTGACTATTTTCTTCAATGAGATAAATGAAAAAAAGGGAACAAGAAAATGAGTGAGACGATGGAGAGAGAGAGAGAGAGAGAGAGAGAGAGAGAGAGAGAAAAGAAGAGAAAAGAGTAGATTGTGAGTCTATAAAAAAATATAGATGAAGGAAGAGAGAAAGAGGATAAGATGTTCCAAGTTCCTTCATGTTGCCACTTTAAGATTGTGAACATTAAGAAGAAAAAGATGATGAGGATGATAGAGACTCGAATTGTCAAATCGATTGCGTATACATGCATTTGGAAGGTTTCGCTGAAGAGAATCGCTTAAAGGTCATAAGACCAAATTATTGTATCGAAACGAGTTTATTAGAGATCGAGAGGAGAAGTTTTTCTTTTCTTGAGCTTCAGTAGAATCCGATTTTTGATAAAACTCTATTGGAAAATTATAGAGATTTTCATATTCTTGTTTCATTGAAAACTCTGTATCCTCAAGTTCCCATGAAATAGGATGTAACCATAATTGATAGTCTCCGGTTATTTGTATTAGTGCAGACTCAATATGAGTTTTGTATTCTCACCTTATGAAAAAAGAAAGACACTGAATAGGAAATGATTGTTATGTCCATTATTTTTATTATCATGTCAATGATGATCATCATCTCAATTTATAACGAAATGATTATGAGTTTTATCTTCTCATCTTATTCACTTTACATTGTTCGTGGGCCAATAAAAAACTGAACAATATCGAGCTCAACTTTCCTCTGAGCTGCGAGTATTTTACATGGAAATGCGCTTCTAAGTGCCCACCATACACACATCGATATAGCTTCTTATTATCATCATTATCATCATTCCTACATTTATTATCGTCATTACTTTCAGTGAATCTATTTGCCAATCTTGTTCATTATCAAATGAAAATCTTTTCACCAATAATATTAAATCGATATGAAAATATAATGTAGATAATAATGATAAAACTAATGATGATAATAACAATTATTATATAGATGATAATGATTAGAAAGTGGTTAGACTAATCTATTGTGCTAATGATTAGGTTGTTATGGTTACGATTCATAGCGAGGCTTTAATGAAAGATGAGGATTGATTAAGTTCTGTAGCTAAATGCTTAAGGTGTTGTATTAATACCTCATCAAAAAAACATTTACGATTGTTATTAATTCAGCAATTTGTTTGATAAACTTTTTGCGTTTTAACAGTTTCTGCTTTTTAATTGAAGAAAAATAGTAATCATAATTAACTGAATGATTTACAAGTCAACATGGTCATTAATCTGGGTCAGACCTCAAATAGAATACAATTTATTTCTATATATCGTTTTAATTAATGTATTTTTTTTTATTATAAGATAGGAAAGAAACAGTTACTTCAATTAATCAAAATCAACGTTTTTATGATTATTTGATGAAACAATTTGTTAACTCGATTGATCTTCAATCAATTACACAATTATACTAATGGTAAACTTAAAATCAGTGAGTGTTATTTTCTGGTGGTAATTTGTAAGTGACAACAAGTATCAATATTGTAAATTCAATCAATATAATTAACCTGATTATTTTATTATGACAACTAAATGTAAACATAATTCAATTAATTCAATTAGTGGAACAGGTTACAGAGTCAATTCAATTATTTCAATATTAAACATCGACTCATATTTAACCATAATACTAACATTTTAACTGGTCCATTGACTTAAGGATGGGATAGGAACAGCATTAGAACAGTAATGAGGTAGAGTGGGAGGAAGAGAGAGAGAGAGAGAGAGAGAGAGAGAGAGAGAGAGAGAGAGAGAGAGAGAGAGAGAGAGAGAGAGAGAGAGAGAAGGAGGTAAAGTGGATAGAAAGAGAGAGAGAGAGAGAATGGAATGAGAAAGGAGGGTAATCATCATCATCATCATCATCGGTGATGCATGATGATCAAGTGAATAGAAAAGGAACCATTAGATGATGATAACCGTTCCTTTCTCCTTCCGGCTTATTTTTATTCAATATACGAACATGAAAATGAAAGAATGGTGATGAAAATGTAGATGAAGACGAAATAAAAAATATTATTTCATCAAGATTATCAATTGAATTGAAAGTAAATCATATTAAATTAACCGTTATAAGGAAACTTTCAGATGACCCCTGCTGTCAATAATATGCAACTTATTAGTCTTTGATCGGTGAAATGACAATTAGACCCATATAAATATTAATACCTCTTTATGTTGACCATCATTTCAATGATCATAAACATCATTAGATTTAACCAATAACTACAACATTTTCCTCATCTCTTTCTCTTGATTATTCTTGATTCAAGTTTTCTTTAATCTCGATCCACTTTCATCATCTTTTCCCTCTTCCTTCCTCATCACTCAGTCATCTCATCATCGCCATCATCTTCTTCCTCATTCTATCCTTATCTCAATTCAGATTTATTAACCACGAGAGAAAAGAACTGTTTTCATCTTCTTGTGAATATGAATTACCATACATGAGATGAACAGATGATCAGATTAGATGAGATAATGGAGATACAGTTGAAATTTATCTCAATTCAGCATCAGGTTCCCTCTTATTCCCATAGACTCATCTTTTCATGGCAAAGATAAGACACCGAGAGTCCAAAGCATTAATATGATTTGATTGTTTTCACGTGAAACCAATTTCACGTCGTCCACACCTTTAATCACACCTTTCTCATGATAATGGTTTCAGAATGACGATGATAATAAAACCGCAGATCATCAGGTCTAAACTGCCTGAGGCTATTTTTTAATCAACTTTTTTATTCTTATATAATTTTCTCAATCTTATCATGACTTTTTTTTTATACTTCACTACTGATTAATAATCATACTGATGCTACAAGGAAGGCGTGGAGATACATTTTTATTATCATCAACACTCTAATATAAATAATAATTAACCAATCATTTAATCAATTAATAACTTGCAATGTAATTTCAAAGCCAATCCCTTTGGTGGTTTGAGACCAATTAATAAACACTCACTTGACACTTATTGATAATGATGATTTTATATTCGTGTTGATTGATTTTCATCATGTAAATTAAATTAATGTTTAATGACTGTTTGCTTTCACTTGGATTTAATTATCTGTAATCAATTATTTACAGTAGACAAATAACTAATAGATTGATGGGATAAGAGTGATGATCCTTTAATCAAGTATCGATAATTATTTAAAATTGAAATGATAACTTGTCTAAACCAGTGGTGCATCAATTTTCACGTGATTTTCATGGTGATTTGCATAAGTGCCAACTCAGATCGGCATAATCATCAGGCAAGTTGAAAGCATTGAAGCAAAATGATGAAGGAAAAGTAAATGAAACATCATTTGGCAAGATAATAAGTTTTTCACCAAACAAAACAAAGAATTGGAACATTTTGTTCAGTTATTGAATCAATTGTAGCACGTAAGTGGGTGGAGATTGTTGTGGTTCTAAATTAGGCTTAAAACTCTACTTTTACTATCAAAATATTAATTATTTGAGAGAAATCAGTTAATATGTTTGATAATTTTGATGATTGCGTGTTGCTGATTGAATCCGTGCGATGTTATAATAACTCATGAAGATAATCAGCTTAACAAGTTGTACGCTAATTGAGGGATAATGATAGGGAAAAATTTGATAAACAATAAGAAAAATTGATCAACAATTTATATTATTTTGATTGACCATGAACATGGGCGTAGTTACCTTGTCATCAGGGAGATTGTGTTAAAATTAATAAATATATATATTGATGATAATGATACCTGAACATGTCGATCAAAAAAATGAAAATGATGATTGGTTGTGATGATTATCAATTGATGAGGTGAGAAAAGTGAGAAATGCAATCGATTAAATTACCAATGGACTCATGTTATTAATTAAACCAATTGCATGTTGATATCAACTCTTGGCTCATTTTCATGATAACTATTATTATCATCGTGATGATTTATCAAAGTACATGTAGCATCATTTTGGAGATGAAGCCGACACAATGAAGAGGTTCAGGTGAGAATTTGATTCCGATTCTGATGGATGAAAATGAGCAAAATATTAGATGAAAGATGAAGTGAAATTATAATTTTGCAAGAAAAAAAAGAGAGAGATTGAAATGAGAAAATTGTTAATCCGTAAAGATTAAGTTCTGTTGTCTTGAGTTACAAGATCAGAAATTTGATTCTTGTTTATAACCCTGAGTATTAGTAACTGAATACTCATCGTATTTCATTAATAAACTCAACAGAAACATTAACTTGACAATTGATGTGAATTTGATTGAATCAGTTGCTCATCATTTTAACACATGATCAGGAAATTGAATTGATACATTTTCCTTTATTTCAAATGATGAAAGTTTTGCATTTGATATTGAAAAGAAAACTTTTTTTACCAATGAATCTGCAACACGGATTATGAGTATTTAGAAATAATTCAATTAAAGCGTCGATATTATTAACTAATTAAGATTCGCTGGATGATATTAAAGTGTGAATATAAAAAGTCAATGAATGAAGAGAAAAAGGAAGCAGATGATGAGAGAGAAAGCAAAAGAAGATGAGAAAGAAGAGAAGAAGATAGAGAAAGAAGGAGGATGAAGGAAACGATATAAATGATGATTGATGTTTTTTGTAGGTGATTTTCAAATTAACTTTGAGGCTTTTGTTGGATCAGCAGGTTTAACCAAAATTAGGTGTTGGGCAAGTAATGATGATAATCATGTTCATCTTCACCACCACCACCATTACCATCATCATCATCATCGTCATTATCATCAACATAATCATCATCAAAGAATCAGAGATGTACAAACATGAAGAACCTTCAATTGCCTGGATCCTTTGTTTACTTTAATTTCTGTTTAACTTGTTCCTCTTACTCTTTGATACGTGAGAAAATTGAAGAAAAAAAAGTTTCTCAAATTAATTAGAAAGACTTAATTTCTTGTCTAAATTATACTAAATGGTTAATTGATTGGAATCACAATTTTACCAATACGATGAATCCAATTGATTCA